GTTCTCACAGAGAAAATTTATAGTGGCAATTAGAATCTAGTATAAAACCTGGATTATCTTTTGCTTATTTTTTCCTTTAAAATCTTAAAATCTCCCCCCAAGACATGATTAGGATGGAAAAGTTGAACACAAATGCAAGCGTTAGCTTCTGGAACTTTCTCTTTGTAAAATTTGGAAGGAGGGTCACATGTGGCAGGGTCTGACTGATTCTGTTCACATCCAGGTTCATGTCCTTGTCTGAATCCCATAAACACCATCTTTTCTCCTCCAGTGAAGAAAGGCAGTTAGGAGCCTGTGAGCCCCCAGACCAGGGCCTCTCCTTACGGGTTCTGCCTCTTATGGTTTCACAGCTCTGATAATTTCCTCTGCTTTTCTGAGTCTCAGTCCTCTATCTACAGCATGAGGTTGAGGTGTCCTGCCAGATAGCCTTGCTAGGGATTAAACGAGAAAACGAGGTGCCCGTGCCATCTCTTAGGTGATCATTAACGGTGGCACCTGGCCACTCACTGTTCTACAAAAATACAAAACCAAGCTGAGCAAGCTGATGCATGCCTAGCACAGGGGAGGCTGAGGCAAGAAGATTGTGCATTTGAAGCCTGGCAGTTTAAGGACAACCTGGGCTACATATTGAGATCACATTTCAAACAACAGTAACAACAAACAACAAACAAAACCAAGAATGGAATACAAACAAAAAGAAAAGAAAAAAAACAATTCCCAACATTAAAGAGCTTTCACTGGAAAACTTTCACCTCCCTCTACAATTCATTCTTAAGCTACAGACTTTAAATGGGCACTAGTGCTGAACCCTATATATAAAGGGGAGTGGGTAGGGAGTAATGTATGATTTATTAAAGAGCTTTCACTGGAAAACTTTCACCTCCCTCTACAATTCATTCTTAGGCTACAGACTTTAAATGGGCACTAGTGCTGAACCCTATATATAAAGGGTAGTGGGTGGGGAGTAATGTGTGATTTTTCCCTCTATCTATCTATCTATCATCATCTATCTATCTATCATCTGATATATCTCTATCAGATCTTCTATCTATCTTATGTCATCTATCTGTCATCTATCTTCTATCACCTATCTATCATCTATCATCTAATCTATCTCCATCATCTATCATCTTCTACCATCTATCTATCTATCTATCAATCATCTATCATCTATCTATCATCTATCATCCATCTATATAATTGTGGTACTCGGGATTGAACCCAGGGTCTTGTGCATGCTAGGGAAATGTCCTACAGTAGTAAGGGAATAGGTTTCTTTTGGCTTGTGGTCTGTGAGATTTCAGTCTATGGTCCCTTGGCCCTGTCATTTTGGGTGTGTGGTGACATAGTACATCATGATGAGATCAGATGATAGCCAGGAGACAAAGAGAAAGAAGAGGAGACTGGATTTCCAATGTCCCCTTCAAGGATACACCCCTAATGATCTAAATCACTCCCACTAAATCCCTCGTCTCAAAGATCCTACAATCTCCCCACAGGGCCCCATGCTAGGGATCAAGCCTTAATCAGATGTGCCTCTGAGGGACAGTCAAGATGCAGACTATAGCAGGGAGTGTCTGGAGGATTGATTTCCTTTCTGAAGTTGAGTTTAGGGTTTCAGGTCAGGCCCAGGGCCCCATCCTGTGATGATACCTCAGTCTGTGACATTCCACTGGTGTGCCACGCATGGTCCCAGTCATGCGAATGCATCATGAAGATAAGGACACATTTCACATTGTGTCTGTTGTTACTTCCTGCCTCTGGAGGAGGGCCTGGCAAGTTCTACAAACTTAACAGCAGAGAACAAAGAAATGATCTGTGATATTAGAGCATTTGCTGTGACTGTTCACTCTGGAACATTCTCAACTCTGAACACCACCTGGATGATTTCCTCTCTTTAGATCCAGGCTCCCACTTTCTCCTGACCAACCCATGTAAAAATCCTTACCATTTTTCACTTCTAAGCCCCAGCCCATCCTTCCTTGGCTTTTTCCCTCGAACCCATAGAATTATATTTGTTCTCATTGTCCCCATCAGTAAGAGCTGTAAGGGTGAGCATCCATCTCTGGTGCACTGCTGTGCCTCCAACACCTGGAATACAGCCTGGATGGAGTCTAAGCTCCACAAACTGTATTTTGAATGAATGAAATAGTGAATGGTTGGGCTTGACAGAGAGCCAGGCCCATAGCAAGTAGGAGAGTCTTGTTGGTTTGATGATGATGATGATACCCTCCCAGTGTCACTGTGAGGCCTCCTGCATCCCTCAGCATAGGTCCTGTCATCATCAGAAACACTAGTCAACAGGGATTTTACCAGCTCTGGCTCTTCACTTTGCTTTTTGGTGGAATGTAACAAGGCATCAGGAGCAGTTTGCCCTGTTGCCTTAACTCTTGACTCCAAACACTTTCATCTCTTTGCTGCAAATATGTAAGCTTCTACGAGCACTCATGTCTGCGTCTCATCCCACCAGCCTGACCCCTCCCAGCTTCTAGGACTTACACATCTCTTTGCTATCACCCAAGCTGTCGTATGTTGAATTATGTTGAATGTGTCTTCACTTCACACTGTTTCATTCTTCTTTTTTCTCTTTTTCTTTTTTTTTTTGGTCTTTTTGAGACAGGGTCTCCCCATAGCCCCAGCTGTCCTGGATTCACTATGGAGACCAGGCTGGCCTCAAACTCACATAGATCTGCCTGCCTCTGCCTCCCGAGTGCTGGAATTAAAGGCGTGCACCACCACGCCCAGCCCACTATTTCATTCTTAAAGATGCTCTCTCCAGAGCCCCACTCCACTACTGCCTCCCTGTGAGCTCAACCCAGGGCTCCCAGCAGCCTCCACTGCCTCGCTCTGGTTTTCTATGCAGCATTCTCCTCTGTTTGACATAGCTTTACTACAAGGTGCTGTGCTTAGCCCAGCTTTATCCCCAAGCCTGAACATGAATTCTCCAAGGGCAGGAGTTCTGCATACGGCTGTGGGCATGGGTAGTTCTGACTCGAGTCCTCAAGTCTGTGGAGCTGGTGGGATGGCTCAGTGGGTAAAAGCACTTACCATGCTAGCTTGAGGATCTGAGTGCCATCCCTGGAACTCACATAAAGATGGAAGGAAAGAACCAACTCCACAAAGTTGTTCTCTGACCCCACATGTACACTATGACATGTTTGTGCCCACACTCACACATCATACGTATACATACACACAAATAATAAATTAAATACATTTCCCTGATTCAAAGCCTGCCTCCTCTCTAACCAGCCATGAGACCCTGACAAGTTACTATACCATACCATCACCTACAAACAAAGATCCTAACGATCACATTTCAATAAGCATCAATCTCCTCAGGGCAATGGATACACAGGGAATGGGACATGTCAGGGAATGACTTTGGATGGGTGGAACTAGGCATCAACCTTAGATATTTTAGCTACTCACACTTTGAGGCCTGTTTATAATGAGCTGTGAGCTCTTTCAGAACCAGAAATATAGAAAGGAGACAACGGCTAGAGATATTTCTGAGAATGCCCAGAGCTTTATTATCCTGATTAACACAGCAGAAAAATGCTTTGCCTGGAAATGATCACACCGGCTTACCCACTGTTTATATGCACCTAGCTTTGTGGTCCATGGAAGCATATGCTGAGGTAAAGAGTCTCTGAAAAGGACATCCAAGTATGTGAAAATAATGCAAATTTCAAAATGCAAAAACAAAAAAATTATAAAATCTGTTTAAATACTTAACTATAGTCCAATAGCTTAAAAGTTCAGGGCTTGTGGGGAATGCAGAGAGCTTTACAGCTTACGTGGGGCATGTGACACCATGGGTCTTAGGGGGCTGTTCTCTTTGAGCTCATTAGCATGATGTGGCCTGTAACATGTTGAGGAAGAACGTGCATAAGGAGCTCCAGGACTCCCCACAGAACTCCAGGGCTGTCTTCCTCTGGTGGACCACATCCGGGTCCTCTACACACTCCGAGTTTTTGATGGGCACGGTCTTGGTCGTGGCTGGACTGGGGGAGATGCCTTCTTTGACCTTGTTTGGCTCCAGGGAAGAAGGTTCCTGGACCTTGCTGTGCTCCCTGGGAGAGATTTCTGCTTCTTCCTTCCTGGGCTCCTTGTTCCCAGGCCCACGGAGGTTTGCCAGCTTGAGATTAGACTCTGGGAACTTCTTTTTGCACACTCTGGTCTTCAGGACACTCTTGGAGTTTGCACATATGTTCTTCTGTTTGCGCAGTGTCCGGGCAATTTGTTTCCAGTAGAGGTTGTCTTTGCTGTGCTGAAGGCAGCCAGCTGGATCACCAGTGTAAACACAAGAAAACTCACGATCTGCCTGCATGCACTCGACCTTCAGACTGATGCCCAGCTCCTGCTCTGTCACAGCCCATCTGCAGGTGGCTTGGTCTTTGGTGACAAACTTGCCGTTAGTCATGGACTTGGATGTCCTGCCTCTCTGCTTATTCTGAGCCTTGCCCTGAGGGACAGATGGATCCCCGTCAGGTGTGCTACGCTGTGAGTTCTTGGTTCCATTTCTGATTTTTTCTGAGAGTACCTGAGCAGCCAGGAGGAGGAAGGAGAGCAGGATGAGGCTGTGGATCCTCATGGCTTCAGCTGCCTGGGCACCTGTTTGAGAAAGGTGGGGGAGTGAGATGGGCAGTATCCAGTGGCACAGAACTGCAGGCTGGCCTCCCTCTACCCGACACAGGTCTGCTCCTGTTTCTACTTCAAATAAGTCTTGCAGATCACATAGTCACAATTCTTCATCCATTTCTTCACCCAGCATGAGCCCCATCCCCCCTCAATTCTACTCAGTGACGCCTGTATTTTCTCATTTATGCAGTCTTTCACTTACTCATGCAGCAATCACTAATTGAGCACCTACAATATGCTGTGTGCTAGCCTAACTGCTGAACACCACCACAGTGAAAGAGAAAGCCTCAGGCCTTACAGAGCTTAGAAGATAAAATTTCAGGGATTTAGGTAGCATTGACTAAGGACTTTGTCCCTTCTCTGTCTTCAGCTTAATCTCCGAAAAAGCATCCCCGCCCGCCCTCGCCGAAATCATGGTGCTGTAGGAAATCATCACTGACTCTTTTTCTAGCTCCAGAGGGGGCTGGATTTCTACCTCACAAGCCTACGTGGACAGAGATGATCAAAAACTGTGAAAGGATGTGGTAAGAGTCATGGAAGTCTCACGAAAAGAGATGTTGACTCAGAGTTGAAAATGCACTGGGTTTGACACACTGGACTGGGTGTGGCGATGGGGCAGAGGGAACATTTCAGGAGGAAGAGGACCAGGAAGACAAGGAAGTGGGGAACTTGATGGGGCAAAGTGAAACAGGATGGAGAGGGATGACTTTCAGATTATTAATGAGATTGGAGTTCTAAAGATCGTGCCAGATTGACTTCTAGAGCTACGTGGTGGCATAGTGCTGGGCTTACAGAAAACATTTACTCAGTGCTTTTTGAAAACAAAAATAAAATGACTTTCAGAACAGCATTAAACTGCATGACTTGTATCGGCTAGACAAGAAAATCACAAGTAAAGATGAAAGAGAGCCCATGCCTGACATCTGCAATGTGTTAAGCAGTGCCCAGCATCCGACTGACTCTCACTTTGCTTAATCCAAAAAGTCTTGCTACAGAGTTCTTAATGTAACACCCCAGGTAACACCTGGGGTAGGTAAAGCTCAGGTGGGTAAGTTGCCCAAGATCCCATAGTGGGTAGGGACAGACAACATGTGACGGTATGGGCGGCCAGACCACGGGCTCTCCTGTCAGTCCTTCTTGGTCACTTCAGAAAATATTAGGAAGGGATAATAAAGCAGTGAGCCGTGCAAGGTTTGCTGTGGATCTATCATGACAACAAGACAACTCAAATAATCTATGTTCAAAAAGTTACTTCATGTTAAATAGTAGAGGTGATAATCATTACCAATGAAATCTACCTGATGACTTTATATCCATACTCAGGTACTAAGGATCCGAGTGTAACCGACTGTGACTAGTAATCATCAGATACGTAGAGATTAAAGACACGTGCAAACAAACAAAAAAAATCATACAGAAATTTTGTCTGAAAAGTGGGGAAGGCCCAGGGAATGGCCTCTGCTCACCCGTGTAGAACTAGGGAAGGAAAAGGTAGTCAGAAGGGATGAGTTAAGAAATAAGTGGGACAGGAGACTAGGTAACTCAGCAAGCAAAGGGTGGGGCCGGAGGCTGGTAAGACTGATTTCTCACAATGCTGGATCTACAGCTTCCTGTCTCCACCATGCAATCCAGACCTGAGAGCGTCTAGGGGTAGAGACATAGGTTGGGTAAAGAAGTTCTTAAGAGGGGCTGATGAGATGATCCAGTAGATAAAGACATTTGCCATGCAAGCCTGACAATCTGAGTTTGATCCCAAGAACTCATGTAAAAGTGGAAGGGGAGAACTGACCTCACAAAGTTGTCCTCTGATCTTAGCATGGGCAACTCTCTCTCTCTTTCTCTCTCTCTCTCTCTCTCTCTCTCTCTCTCTCTCTCTCTCTCACACACACACACACACACACACACACACACACAAACTAATCAATCAATCTATTAATCAATCAATTAATTAAAAAAGTTCTTAAGAGAGCTAGGCTCTTACCTCCGGTGTGCAGGTCCAGAGGAGAGGCTGCAGACTTCCAGACTCCCAGCTGCAGGGCAGGCAGGCTGGGCTATTTATACAGGAGCTCAGCTGGCTGGGTCTTTACAACACACATACTTGTAGAGCCATGAAGCTTTATTCACACTCCTCCCAGCCACGCCCCTCAGAGGAAGCCAGTTCTGCAGGGAAAGTGTTGGGTGGAATCCAGGGAGCAGGGGGTTACCTGTGCCTTGCTTCTTGCAAGCTCTTCCTTCTCCACGCAGTGGCCAGGGTGGAAGCATAGCTCAGCCTGCAGAGACCCTCCCCGATGACACTGGGATCTCAGCAGTGATATCCGTGAACAGAGGAACAGAGCAACTACATGTACTTGAGTTCTGAGCCCATTTTATCAAGAGTGCTCCCACATCCCCCATCTCTCCTCAATCAGTTGGTGTGCAATTGTTCTTCCCATTTCACAGATGGAGAAATTAGCAGTCGAAAGTTCACAGAGCCAGGAAGAGTAGATCTCAAATGATGGACTCCCAATATCCATGATCTGATCTCTTCCCGCATGGCCATCTCAGTGAATATTTGGAGAGTGACTGACTGAAGTTGCTGGAACTTGTTTCTGAGTTGCCTGTTCTCAGGAAGCTATCTCAATTTACTGTGTGGGCAGATGAATCTGTGAGCCCCTAGGGCTAGTGAAGAGATTATTCTTAATAATGGAATTTCATTTGAAATATTCACCTTCCAGTCATCTGCGGGAGCTCACTCCTGTAGGGACACCCTGCTGCAGACGGAGTCTTGGGCCAGGTACACCTAGGAACTGAATCCTTGCCACAGCATTCATCAAACTGCCTGACATTCTCCAAACTACCGAACCTCCTTGAGCTCCCCGCTCTGCCCCCTGTTGCTCATTCACATTGTGTAGATAACAAGAGCAACTCACTGGAATTCTCCCTAGATCTAAGCTGTTCAAGTGGAGGAGAAGTGTTTGGGTTCCTAATGGGATCGTAAGCTGTGTTCTTTGAAAACTGGCACTCATATTGGTATTATATATTAGATGTTTTGAGAATGCTCCTCATTTTAATTTGGTGATTTCATTAGCTTGGTATGTTATTTTCTCTCTCCCAATTAATTTAAATCATGAATGCAACTTTTATTTTGGGAGAACTGAGCAATGAACACAGTTGGTAGTTAAGGCCAGTGATTGAATGCCTGCCAGTGTGGTCACTGGGAGAGGATTTCAAGTTTAAAGCTGGTGTTACTCCCATGCCTGTTTCTACACATAGTTCCTTGACCTAGAGTTCTGGTCCTATTGGTGTGGCTGTCAGAGATTATATGAGTGGGTGTGTTTGGGTTCTTAGGTGAGCCTTAGCTAAGGGCGATTATTACCAGGCCAAGTTTGTCAAAAGTCAATTCTTTCTTCAGATATGATCTTGTGAACGGAAGTAGAAAATGCCCAATTACTGCATTAAAGCAACATCCATCTGTTGTGTCAGATAATGTGTGTTAAAAACATATTCACTGTCAGAGAAAATGGGGAAACAAACAGTAAAATCCAATTAGTCCATGGAAAAGTACCCTTGTTAGAACTACGAAGAGGGTATTCATTCCAAATCCAAATCCTGGGCCTTCAGAATTCCTACTGAGCAAATCAAAAGACTGCTGCTAAAGTTTGACTTCAGAGCATTAGGAGACAGAGAATGTTGATGTTGTTCTTCCAGAAGACCCGGGTTTGAATCCCAGCACCCACATGGCAGCTAACAACTGTCGGATCCAGTTACAGGGGATCCAACAGCCTCTTCTGTCCTCCACGGGCATTGCACAACACGGGCGCACTTACCTACATGTAGGCAATACACACATACACATAAAATAAAAATAATAAATAAAATTTTTTAAAATGCCCTTACCTTGGTATGAATGTTCTTATCAAAACACTTTGTATTAACTTTTTGTTAGATATGTTCAATTATTGTTTCTGATTCTGAAGTCTTCTAAAAGCTAACTCTCAGTTTTTATTTTAGGTTACTTCAAAAGAGATTCTTGAGTTTTTTTTGGTTTTTTTTTTTGTAGCGTTAAATGCTAGAATACCGACAATATTGAATGAAACAAACTCAATTTTTTTTCCTTCTTCAAGTAACAGAGTTATTTCAAAGCATTATATTCCTTTCCAGAAAAGCTTGTAAGAGTTTTTTTAATAGCTCTTTTATAATAAATTTTTCTCTCCAATCAAGCTTTTTGATCATCTTAGGATTTTTCACTTTGATTTTCACCATAACTACCTATATACACATGTGCACATACATACTCTCATGATATAGAACACACGCATGCATACATGTATATGGAAGACAGTTCTAGAGGGTCTCATTTGAATTTTCAGCTTCTAGCCCACGTGTATTACAAAAAGCTCCAGTTGTCCCTCAGAGAGAAAGGAAAGGGAGAAGACAAGTGGCCCTGTTTCTGGTGAGGCTGTCACCATGCATGTTGGCATTCGGCCGTGCTCCTGTTGGCATTTGGCCGTGCTCCTTCTCATAACCAGTGAAGATGTCTGTTTCTGCTAAGAACCCCAGAAACAACTCTGAAAAGACCCATAGGGGCACCAGTGGAAGAATGAGGACCCATACAGGCCAAAGTCGTCTCTGATACAGTGTTCTTTGGAACAAGAATCTGCTTGGCTCTGGGAAGAGCAGGGCTGGACTCTAATGAGACCTCATTCATTCCACTATGCAATCACTGTTTGCAGCTTTCACTCCTTCCTTCATCCAGGGACCCATAGGAGTGCCGCCATTGACTGGCAGGAATAGGCCCATGATTACTGCAGTCTTTGCCCTCAAGGAGATGATGGACAATAAGAGAATAGGTTTACACTTGATGACAGACAGTACAGGGGTTAATTACTAGGTTGAGGGAAGCCTGGGGCTCTGTAAGTAAGGACATCTCACCTAGCCAGAGGCAGAGAAGAATTTCTCAAGAGCCTGCAACTATGCAGAGACAACTCCACAGTGGGGGAAAGTGGAGGCAACTGATTCAGGTATTACTGCAGCCGTTTCATGCAAAACACATTATTGGATACTCAAGGGAATGCCAACATGAGTTTAATTTGGCTTCTGTCCTCAAGATTGGCTGGTTTAGCCCATGGCTGGCTCTCAGGTGGTTACTACTGGTGGTACTCTGTCATTCACAGGTTTTCACGTCATATTGGAAAACCCTTGGTTCATGTGGTTTGTGGCTACAACCTATTCAATGGTGAGCTCCTGGGATAGCACACTCAATGTCATCTGGGAATGAAGGACATGAGTGCCCTTCCCAGGAGGACCTCTAAGTGGAGCTGATGGTGGCCTGAGCATCTGTAAAGGGTCTATTCAGTTTGTCTGTTCATTTATTGATTTGATTATTTATTTTGGGGTATTCAGATTTTTGAGTTCTTTATATTAATAATACTCTCGATATTAATCTCCTGTGAGATGAATATTTGGCAAAGATTTTCACCTATTCTGTAGGATGCGTTTTCATTCTTGTTACTTTTATTTCTGTTAAATGATGTCTTTGGAGGATCTGGGCTTCTGGATTGAGAACTAATGAACATACCCAAAGCAGGAGGGATAAGATGGACAGTCACAATAACAGTGCATAGCTGCACTCACTGAGGGAGGTTCAAGTGGGTCCCAGATCACATGAAAAGCTGCTTGGCAGATGGGTAATATATAGTTAAGTGATCTTGCAAGAATTTGGGCTCCTATGTCCTTGTGAGGTGATGGCAAAATGAAAAATTTATAAAGACTTAGATTAAGTCGTAGTAAAAAACAGAAGCTGTTTACGGAGTTTATTTGAAACTAGTAAACGTCTTCAGTTGTCTCTGAGGGAGCAGAAATGAAACGCTCTTCCCCTTTTGTCATGAAGCTGTGGACCACTGGTACCCAAGAATGTGATGCCACCCAGCCAAGGGATGAATCATGACAGCAGTAAGGCAGGTAACCCCAAAGAGAGGTGCCCTTGAAGCAGTTGGTGAAGTTCGGAAGAGTCATGATTTTCTATGGGGAGAGTGCCCTGTACCATGCTCCCAACCAATAGGAATTGAATGAAGAATTATGGAATGTCTCCAGAGGGTAGCAATATCCGGCAGCATCAACCCACAGCAGGGAGACAGCCTTTACCTGGGATTATTTGTCAGCCAGTGTAAGGGAAGATCTGTTCAAATAGTTCTGCTCAGGGCTAGATAGCCAGCTTCAAAGTCCTCTATGGTGCCCTCTGGTGGTGTTCTGTGGTATGACCAGGCCAGGTCAAGACTGCCCTCAAACCGCATCCTGAGGACGCTCCCTATCCTCCCTCTCTCCAGGAAGGGCTTTGCTTGCCAATTAGCCCTAGAAACCTCCTGGACCTCACATCTGACAGGATAGTCACTCATCTACAAGGTGTACACAAGTGACCTCTTGCACTCCCTGTAGTATGACCTGTGCTGGGCAAGAGTCCGCAGTCACCTTTTGGCCAGTTTAGACTGGAACATTATAATGGAAGGGATAAAACACTGTCCTGACTGCTGCTTTGGCCTTGCAATGACGCCACCCATCCAGCCTTTGATGGTTGAATGTTGCCCCTTAGCCTCTGCCTCCTGAGGATCCAACAATTCCCATTTCTACTGTGACAAAAAACAATTTGGGGGAGAAAGGGTTTCTCAAATCCGGGTTACAGTCCAGCATAGTGGGGAAGTCATGGAACTTAAGCTTGAAGGAGGTGGTCACATCACACCCATAATCAGGAACAGAGAGAAAAGATTGTGTACCTGTCTGTGCTCAGGTGAAAGTTTCCTGTTTTATATAGCTCAGGGCCCAGCCCATTAAATGGAACCTCTCACATTCATGGTGGGTCTTCTCACCTCAATTATAACCCGATTAATAAAATCACTCCTAAGTGTGCCCACAAGCCAACCCAATTCAGACAATTCCTCACTGAGAGTCCCTTCGCAGGTGATTCTACATGGTGTCATTGACAATTGAAAGTAACCTAGTCTGGAGGCTTCGTATCACTGTTTTGATTCCCTTTGTGTTATGGGTCTGTTTAAACCGTTAACCTCTTCTTGGTTTAACTTTGGTGGTTCCCATGATTTTAGATATCCATTCATTTCTTTTAGGTTTTCAAATTTAGCGGA